GTGTGTTTGGGAAGGTGTATGTGGATGTGTGTGGGTGGGGGTGGGTGTGTTTGGGAAGGTGTATGTGGATGTCAGGGGGGTATCTGCCGCCCTGCTTCTGAATTGGAGGTTGGGACAAACGCGCGTTGCCTGATGTGGTTCCTTCTGTTTAGGTTTCTGGTGCATCAATCGGCAGCGAGGCCACCAGCATTGGGGCACCAAACATGATCAGTGTGCAGCTGGTGAACCGGGAGACCCGAAACAAGGAACAAACCCCCGAGCCTGCAGCTTCGAACTTTCAAAGGAAGCAGGTTCCAGTGGCACAGGCGGTTTATTAAGTACCTGTTATTGGCAGCTCACAGCCAGTTGCTTACTCATTTCACCAAAACAGCCAGAGGAGAAGCAAAAAGAAAAACAAACATGTATGCAAATAAATCTACAATCTATGTCATTAGCTCATACTTTGTTCATTTCTCCTATTTTGCACAACTTCCAGATTCTGTGCATTTGCGCGCGCATTTAGACACATTACTGACCCGTAGTTGTGAGTTACATTCGGTATTTTTACCTTGACAAGAGAAGTACTTTTGTCGGTGGATAGTGCACATTTTATGTGCAAATTACAACAAAAACATCTCTTCCATCTCGCTCCTATGTCTATGGCAGCAGTCTGAGGCCTGGTCTTGTTGTAAAGACCCGGCTCACCTCATCACTGCACATATCTCTGAGGCTGGGCCTGGAGTTGGAGGGGGGATCTCTGTCAGGGAAAGGATCCAGTAAGGTATCCCGATCGGAGGATCCGGTTCTGAAAGGGGGATGGGGAAAGTTTCAAGCGCTTTAGTTCTCGGCTGATCTGCGCAAAACTAGACCAACCGCCTGAAGAAGTAGAGTAAATGTTGGCAAACTGTTACCAGAAACGAAATATTTCGCTAGTTACCCTAAGCACCAGCCAGCTCTGTTAATTTCAAGCGTCCTCTGCTTGCCTCCAACGTTAAGAACCCACTTGCAACTAAAATGCCTTCTAATCGGGATATTTCTTATTCCACACACACCATTTGCTGGTCGGCTGGACCTTAGTAAAAAGGTAAAGAGGCTGAGGACAGGCGTGTGATTTTTCACATTTCTAGGAGGCGTGTTTCCTGATTGAGGTTTCTGTATTTCCCGACTGTCCTGACTGAAGCTGGAACTGGCAGCAGCTCATATCCTTAAAGAAACTCATACCCAAACCGAAATACTCTCGGTCTCGGCCTGGAGTCCACCTTCGGTTTCATTGCCGGGGTAAGAGCCAACACGGGCGCGATGGGCCGCAGGGCCTCAGTCAGTGCTTCACGGTCTCACCATTGGCAGCTCAGTGCATTTTGAAAACGGTACGAATTTTTTTCTAAATTGTGAAACCAAGCCGTGTCTTCCAAGCGGATTCCCTGATCGTTAAGTGGACCCTCCTGATCCAGTTACAGAGGCTCTAACCAGCGGTTCCATGTGAATGACGTACACATATTGGGTGGAATCTTCCTGTTTCCATGAAGCAGGACCAGGACCAAAGCTTGCAGATTGGAGCTTCACTTTAGCCAAGAATGAGGATTGAGGATCCAACAGAGGGGGCAGTGCAGTGACGGTCACTACGTTATAAGAATGATATGATTCCATACAAGAGAATGCAGAGGAGATTTATCAGGATGTTGCCTTGGCTGAAGGGTCTGAGATATGGGGGGAAGATTGGATTGGCTGGGGTTGTTTTCCTTGGAGCAGCAAAGGATGAGAGGGGCCCTGAGAGAGGAGTAGAAAATTGTGAAGGACATGCATTTAGGCGGGCAGAAAGGCACTTTTCCTGTGTCTAGAAGTGTCAATTACCAGG